GAACCGCACCTCTTTGTACGGATATATATTCTATATTACCTGCTAGGTATAATACGTTGTGTTTTATTAATGGTATGTCCGAGAGAGGGGTTTACGATGACCGTAAGTCATTTTTTTGTTGCCCATAATACAGAGGTTTAAGAGGAAAATATTATTACGGGCTATTCTAGAATTATATTGTAGTCTTAAGATATCATTTAGTTGTATCGAAATGACGAATAGTTTTGGCAGAATATTCTTTGTATATTTTGTTCCAAAAAAATACCCAATTTGCTTGACAAACTAAACACATCGGCGCAATTGAAGTAGTGGCTGCAATAACCAGAAAGCTCCAGTTTTTTACACAAATTAAATTTTAGTCTTGTTTTCTGTGCAAGACCAAGACCAAGCCGCAAGATCAAGATCAGTTTCGTTCATCACTACTCCTGAAAGGAAAAACTGGAAATTGAACAAACACTTTAAAGAAAACTATCAATTTGAAACTAGCTGTCAAATCGGTTGGTCTTAATTGTTCCGGATCATCAGATGAATTAATTTCGGGAGACAATTTTAACAGTTGCTATGGAAAAAAATATAAAATATTTCCTAAAGTTAACAGAATTATGTAAATATAGATAGAAAATATGTTTGTAGTACAGAATTAACCAAACTCTGGCAACATGGCTAAATTAATTTAACAGGTGCACCAACAGCCAACCAAAACCTGATTTCCTCTCACCATTACCGAATTAAAAATGATTAATTTAGATGTGTAGATGGCAGGCCGATGGCTATCTCGGGTCCTGCAACGGTCCGGCGATCGTTTATGGCCCGTAAATGCCATGTCGATGAAACGACCACCGCCAGTGGCAAATCGTTTCTTGGTATTTTAGGGGAACGAGGGCCCGAAAAGGTCCGTCAGATTTCGGCGAGTCTGGGAGGAAGATGATATCCAGATGTTGACAGATATAAAAGTCATAGACGTAGTGGTAGATCTTATCTTCCTCTAATCAGGAAGCTTGACAACTATAAAATACCGAACGGTACAATACCGAACGCCTCGATTTCAGACATGCCACAATGCCGCTAGATTCGATACGATTTTGCCATCATTGTTTTAGACGAAATCACATGTTTTTATCAACAAAATTTTTTAGATTTAATAGACCAAATTATAAATCAAAAACATATCTTTAAAAATTGGTCAAGTGCGAGTCGGACTCGCGCACGAAGGGTTCCGTACCTTCGTTATCTATACAACATTAGACACTATATTATTATAAACTTTTTTCCGATTTAGGTGAAATTTTGAATGCGCGTATAAGTAATTAAAAAAAAATGAAGAAACACATTACTAAAAATTGTATTAATCAATAATAAATATGTAAAAATATGTAAAAATTAAAAAAAAACGATTAAAAAAAAGTCGCCTTGACTAGGATTCGAACCTGCCTTACTACGGGTCCAACGTCATAGCAGCGTAAAGTCCTAACGCTTTAACCACGCGGCCACCGAGGACTTGAAAGATTCTATCTAAAATTCTTACTTAAAAGATAATGTTTAGTGAAAGTACTATTTTATTTATAAACATTTATTTAATTCTGTTTTTAGTATTTGTTCTTATAGCGGCAACATAGATACATTATCTGTGAAAATTTCAACTGTCTAGCTATAACAGTTCATAAGATAGACCTTTGTGACAGACGGACGGACGGACAGCGAAATCTTAGTAATAGGGTTCCCGTTTTTACCCTTTGGGTACGGAACCCTAAAAATAGTTATTTATGTATGAAGAGAATTATAAGGGGTTAATTACCGAGAGTAAAGTGTCTGTCCCGAAGGCCTATAAAAATTTAAACGATTTATCGATGTAAACGATACCAAAAAAGAAAACCAAACCAAACGTTACACGCATTTCATTATGATGTTCGTAACGAACTTGTATCATTAATAACTATAATTATTACCTTGCTTTTTAGATTGACAGTGATCTTATTACACTTTCTGGTGTTCAAAGGTAAGCTATTTCGTTTGCCCCAATAAGATATTTTATCCAAAAATCGTTGGATTAAAAGACAATCTTGAACACTGTTGACAGAATGAAATATTTTTAAGTCACCTTCAAATAATAAAGCTTCGACAAGACATTTCTTTTATCGTCATTAATCATCATCATTTTCAGCTTATTCAACCATTTCCAATTATGGTGTAGCGTCCATCACATATTTAGATACTCTCTTTGTAGTTGGGCCGATTATTATCTATTGTTGGCTACGCAAGTTATCCCTGCTAATTTCCTAATATCATGCTCCCATCTCAGATTTGGTCTCTTTCTAGGTCTCTTAATTCTTCGTGGGTACCATGCTGTAATTTTTGTGGTCCATCTGTTGTATGTCCTTCTTGCCAGATGTCCTGCTCATTGCTACTTGAGGAATTTGATTCTATGGGTCACATTTATTACCTGGCTCTTTGTCGTATCCACTCTATTCTTTTATGGTCTTTAGCATATTTCGTTCCAAGGAGCGTTGTGCGACCTTATAATGTCCCTTTCAAGCGTCTAGGTTTCGCATGCATAGGTCATGACTAGTAGTACACATTGGTCGAATGTTTTCTTCTTTCTCGTAAAATATAATTCTAGTAAACCAATTTGATGTAGGCCCAAGAGATCGGTTCCTGCATGACATCGACCCAGATATGTTTCTAAATAACATTGAATTAAATTGAACAATTAAAATAAAACAATCTCGGGTCGATAATCAAACGCAGGTTACATAAGTTCGATTTCCTCATGATCATAGCCAGGTGAATGGAATTAAATAGAAAACTATTGATCGACGTAACCAGCGATGACCACGAGGGATAGGAAATATAAAAAGAGTATGCTGAAGAGAGCAGAGGTCAGTTAGTTAGTTGCAGTTAGTCAGTCCAATGGTTAGTCAGTTGCATTACAGTTGACAGTCAGTTAATCAGTAGCTAGTTAATCGGTAGTTATTCAAATGGTTAGTAAGAAGACAGCGAAGACGTTGAAGATGTTCCTGTAAGTACTCCTTTGAGCATATCCTTAAGTTTTGGCATTTCCTGAAATTGTTCTGATATTTTTATCCACACTGTACACTTTTATTTAATAAATGTATTTCTTTTCTAATGGTTGTTTTGATTAAAAGAGAACCTGGTATAAGCGATCCTAGCAAACAACCCCCAAGCTAGGTCGCGACAATATCATTTATATACCAAGTAGCATTTTCACGACTTGCGACCACATGTTTACTAAACACAACGTTGGATTAGTTACAAAAAATAGTTAGCTCTCTACCTTGGGTATTAAAATAAATTTAAACGTTTTTATAACGTTGGGCCGACGTTGGACTAGTACTACAGCAAAGTAGAAGCTTCTGCGACGTCGAATAAACGTTGTCTTGTAACCTTTTTTGCTTAAGTGATCTTTAGGTGATTTGGACAACGTAGTTACAACGTTGGATAATATAGAGTTTTCCGACGTCAGTTTCAGGACCTATTCCAACGTTATGCAAACGTCGTCTGTTTTACTAATTCCAACGTTGTTTAGATTTCCTTATTCTTACGTTGGTAGGACGTAGAGTCACTACCTTTTTGCAACTGTATTGAACCATAACCTTAAATCTTAAATTTTCAATTCATTGTTCTGTTCAGTCAGACAGTTCAGTGCTGTTTTTGTTTTTATAAAAAAAAAACTTAATTAAAATGGGACATAAGAAAGGTACATATAAAACTAAATTTAAATATACATCGACATATATTACCGACACTTCCTCGTTTATTTAGATTATAGAGGGCGGCACAAGCTAGACTCTAGAATGACTAAATTAGGCAATCTTGCGACTAGTATACTACCTGTTAAGGCCGAACTGCGACTTTATTAGTCCAGTATGCGACTACTCGAACTACTCCATCTTAATCTCCAAAACAACAAAGTTAAAGCCGCCATGTTGTTAAATAAGAAAATGTTTCGTTCTTAAAATAGCAATTCCTGCTTTTTGAATACATTAACTTGAAATATTTGACCCTAAAAAATACGCGGAAACAATTTTTTCGAATGCGAATAAATTATTCTCATTTTACTAAAAAAAAAATTCAAGAAAATTTTTAAAACTTCTTTAATTTCAAGGCCCATTAGTATTTTTTAAAGTAGAAACAATACATTTATCAATAAAGTTGTTTGCGTTTAACTTTTTACCTTGGGTAACGAGTTACAGAGTCGGTTAAAGTGTTTCAATAATTATGATCTTCAAACATCCTCCACACTTAAATACTTTTGTTTTGTTTTCCTTCACTGCCATCTGACATATGTCTCTAACTAAATCATAAAAATAATATTTTTACTATAATTATCCCAATTTAGGATAAAACGCGACTTAGACGCCATATTAGTTTTGTATTTCTGTGAATTAGGATTTTAAACAACGTTGCAGTTTGTACTAAATTAGGCTTCTAGCCAACGTCGGTATCCAACGTCGACCCAAAAATTATTCTCCAAACTAGTGCAAACTAGGGTTGGCACGAGGTTGTGCCGACGTTGCGCCCCGACCTTTGGTCGCGTGACACAACGTTGTCCCGACGTCCAAATGCTGCTTGGGTACTATAGTGAAAACCACTAGATGGTGTGAAACGATACGATTGAAGTCCATGATACTTTACGTACTGCGAATGCCACTAAATTGATGACAAAAATAAGTAAATAAATGTCCCCCGAAAATGGCGTTTGGTAGAGGAAAGCCGGAGCTATATTTGGAGTCAAGACGTCATTTTTCAGTAGGAATGGCACGAGTGCTGAAATATTTTTGTGCAGGCCAGTGTTATCAGTAAACCACTTAATTTAATGACACTTGGCGGATTCTTGTGTGTCACTCAACGTTGACGCTGTAGTTGGTTAAAATAAAAATAAAAGATATCGATAACTAGAAACGCCACCACTGCATCGATATCTCGTGGCCGGCCGTACTCTCCGGTGGTACCCCAGAACTCGGCGATATTATCGTCTCCGGTCTCAGATCGCGTTGCTGCATCTGGATCTCACGTTGTGCACGCCGCGGCGTCCCGATGATGGTGCACTGTGGAGTCGTCGAAACGTCGCGTTGTCGTCCGTCTTTTCGATGCAGCGGCATCGAAGAGCATCTCTAGATGTATGATCTCTAGACTCGAAACGGTTGCCGGTGTTAGGACTGTTTTCGTTGCGGCATTTGTGGTTGTTGGTAACTTGGATTTGGACGTACTTTGCCAAAAATAGAGCCAGACGGGAAACAAAAAAAGGAAGCGTCGTGGATAAGAGAAGCCGGGTGGCAAAGGTCAGTGTTGTGAAGTGGTGAAGTTGTGAAAATTGAAAAATCATTTTTAATAATTAATGATATTATCTAAATAATTTGATAAAATTAAATAATTTTCTTTGGGTGTTGTAAATTTGTAAAAATTTGTAAATGGTAAAAGGTACTTACAAAAAATATACCGGGCGCGTTTCAAAAGTGGCTCACCCCCTATAACTTTTTTATTTTTTCAGATAAAAAAAACGTGATCTGGTATGTTAGTATATGACATAAATTAGAATTGATTGACGTAGTCAATTGTTTTTGGTCACTTCCTGTTTCACCGGAAATCACTACAGTTTTTGATTTTTAAACTACCCTCAGTATTTTTTTACTTTATTCGATAGAAAATGACACTCTGAATATAATGACATATCGTACATATGTCAACTTTTGTTTTAACACATATTTTCGCATATAGTTTATTTGAAATTGTAACGTGCAGTTCATAACGACAATTTAACACGAAATACCAAGTGCGTGGTACCAAATTATTCGTATTTTTTTTTCAAATATGCTAATGAACTGCCCTCCTTCCATTTGAAAAAATTGGGATATGATTAAAAATACGATTTTGGTATCTTTTAACCGGCCAGGACAAGACACTAAAAACATAAGACGATCAAATCTATATTTTCAAGGTTCCTTGATTAAAAATTAGTTTTTTTAACACAGCCAGAAATTTAAAATACAATTTTTAAGCGAAAATGTTAAAATTTGGCATATGACATGTCATTCTCTTCAGAGTGTCATTTTCTATCGAATAAAGTAAAAAAATACCAAGGCCGTTATTTAAAAATAAAAAGTTGTAGTCATTTCCGGTGAAACAGGAAGTGACCAAAAACAATGGAATACGTAATACGTCAATCAATCCTAATTTATGTCATATATTAACATAGCAAATCTCGTTTTTTATCTGAAAAATAGATTTAAAAAGTTATAGGTCACTTTTGAGACGCACACGGTATATCGAAGTTTAAAACACACGAAAATGTTTTCTTGTATTTTGAACTCGGGTTTTCGTACCGGTTAGTGAAGGTACATTTTCTCTTTGCCGTTTTTAAAGGCAAAATAATCGATTTTTTTTATTAGAAATAAACAGATTTATTTCTAAAATTTTGAGAACCAGTGTATTTTTTCTGCGCTTCCATATTTGCAAAATATCGTATCCTTAATCTTAAAAATATTTGCACTTATTTTGGAGTCACCCTGTATATTTTTATACCAACTTCCGATATAGAAATACCACTTTGTAAGACTCTATAAGAATCTACATTTTTATATTATAAGAAAGTTTCTAAATCGTTGGTTATACGCTAAAAAATATCCTAATTTTTTTAAATTTTTAGTTAGTAAAAAGATAAAAAAAATAAAGTGAAATATGTCAAGTGGGCTGTAAGTAGCTATTTAAACATCCCGTATATGACATATCTCAATAATAATATTATTCATCTAAAAACGCGATTTGATTAATGATAGCACACTTCAATTTTTTAATATTAGCCTTTAATTTTGGTTTACTCTGTATAACTAAATAATTTAAGTAAACGTCAAACTGAAAATGTTAATATCTTTGAATAAGAAGACTAAGGAAGGAGCATATCAAAAATCTTAGGTGCATCGCGATGGGCCTCAAATATCCCCGACTTAAACTCCGGTTTATCAGTGCCGTTCTAATTTTATTTAAAAAATGTAAAACTATGATGTAGAGTAGACGTGGGGTAGACTCAATAATGTGTTATTTTATTTTACTTTGTGAATAAATGTTGGTAGTTATTAAAATTGTTATAAAAATATATAATTCTAATAAAAATAGATAAATTATAATAAGTATTTATTAACACAAACATCCGATACGCTACTGAAGCAGGTAAGTCAAATTAACGTATCTAAATTCTTTTGACATCTAATCTTTGACAAGTAATAAATAAAAGCTAAAATGCAAGAAAAAAATATATAATTTAGTTAATTTTAAGTGAATTTCATAAATGATCGGTTTACTACACGTATGTATATTATATAGTCACTTACTGCGAAAAGTTGTTCCATTATTTCACTCAATTTTTGCCGAGATCTACCGCACGCTATACAACCAACTATTTTAGAATCTTTTTCGATAAATGGCGATAGTGTCACCGTTAATTTAAGTTCTGCCACAATTTCCATCTAGATTTACTACCTTTATACAACTATCAGTAGTAGAATAAATAATAAATAACATAAAATAAGCTCCGTAAAGACTGACAAATCCACAAAATTTCAAATCAAATTCAAATGTGTCAAATGAATCGTCAAACAGAACTGTCAAGGATCCCCACCCTAGAGTGCTTTTATGGCGCTTTTTCCGCCCACCATGCATGAATACATGGATAGCATTATGCTCCTTCCTTAGTCTTCTTATTCAAAGGTTAATATAAAAAACCCTCAATTTTCATTGTTTTTCAAACGTCATTAATTTCTGCGCCGTGATTGACAATATGAAAAAGTAATTTTAAGGCCAAAGCATAAGAGTAAAGCACTTTTACGCCTAAGCACAAAAGTACGAAAAAATATTATTAAACTGAGATAAAGTGTCAAATTCAAAGAGCGTAACCATCAGCATTAATTAAATGTCACTAATCGAAAATTTCAAACACAGTCGTATCAACAAACAGTCTTTTTCTCTTTGCCATAAAATTCTAATATACTATTTTTTAGTATTTTAATAAAGCACGCTTTTAGATGTTTCAAAAAACTTTTAATAAGAGTAACTTTAACTCAACATATATGTTTCGGCTTGTTAGGCCTTTTTCAAGAGTTTTTTAAGAACTAATCGTCTAACTACACTGTAACTATATATATATTTACTATGGGGGTGGGTTCAGAGAGTTTACAATAGGGGTAATAAAAAATGTGTTTAGAAATCCTTGTTGGTCGTTAACATTATTTTCGTTTTTAACAGATTTTAGTATTTCTAACTGTTCAATGTAATTTAAGCGTCTACCTTTTGTTTCTCTGTGTAGTAACTTAATTGAGTTTTCATTAATTTTGTGATTATTTACTATACAATGAGTTGCAAGACCAGAACTATGCTGGAGATTATTAATAGACTTTACATGTTCTTTAATCCTTATATCTAAATTTCTACCTGTTTGGCCTATGTACACGGCATCACAATCATTGCAATCCACCCTATATACACCCGACTTATTTTTGACATTAGTTTTGTCTTTATTATTTAATAAAATTTGACCTAAATTTCTTTTATTTACGTTAATTACATCCTATTTTATTGAGATTATTTGATATTTTGTTAGTTAAATTAGGAATGTAGTTTAAAAGAGTCGATAATTGTTATTGTCTTTAGAATTAGCGGAATAAAAATTTTTCATTAATATTTTCTTTTGTTTTTTCTTTAGCATATTATCAATAACACTTATATCCATTGTTGATGGCGATTTGTTTAATAATATTTAACTCTTTTTTAAATTTCTCTGGGGTCAGTGGAAACATTACTAATCTATGAATTAAACTATGAAAGGGTGACATTTTGATTTGCTAGGATTGGTGTGATTGACTATGTATTACAGTGTCTGTGGTAGTGGGTTTTCTATGCTTATCAAATTGTAATCTATTAGACTGTTTTATAATTGTAACATCAAGAAAATTGATGGTATTAATACCTTTTTCAATTGTAAATTGTATTCTCGGGTTAATTGAATTTAATAATGTTAAAAAACTGTTTAAATTTCTCTCGGTGCCTGACCAAATACAAAAAATGTCATCTACATATCTTGCCCAATAATTTATTTTTGATATTAAACTACTCTTGTTTTTAAATAGCTTCTTTTCAAAATCTGCCATAAATATTTCTGCGAATAACGGTGAAATTGGGAACCCATCGGTTTTATATATATATATATAGTTTTGTTCTAACAAGTTTCAATTATTGTTATTAAATCTGATTTTACTATTATATTAAGATTAGATTTATCAATTAGTTCATAAATAATAGAGGACAATTCATGGGTTGGGATAGAAGTGAACAGGCTTTTGACATCGAAAGAAACGAGTGTTGCATTATGTGGAACTTCAATATTTTTCAAATTATCTAGCAACTCAAAAGAATTCTTTTATGGCAAATTTTGATTGAAAATTGATCATGGAAGGAAGTGTTTTAGCTAGTATTTGACATAATTTATAAGAGGGAGCATTTATGTACGAGACGACTGGTCTATTTTATTACCCCTATTGTAAACTCTCTGAACCCACCCCCATAGTAAATATATATATAGTTACAGTGTAGTTAGACGATTAGTTCTTAAAAAACTCTTGAAAAAGGCCTAACAAGCCGAAACATATATGTTGAGTTAAAGTTACTCTTATTAAAAGTTTTTTGAAACATCTAAAAGCGTGCTTTATTAAAATACTAATATTTCAACGATGTTTCACAAGGAACCAACCACAGCTTCAGTACAATTTATTATACTATTTTTTTCTTTTCAGAGCATTTATCAAGTGATTTGGATTCTTTTGAGGACGATTACATAAAATACAACTAAATATAAACAAGCGAAATGTTACATAAATGATACTCCCAGTTATGAGTTACTTTCCAAATCATCATGCACTTTAAGAAACTACTAGAATATTAAAATATTAGAAGACTGTCATCGAATTTAAGGACCAAGAAGGACTTGAAAATGAAGTGTTTAAAGTGTGTTAGTGAGTTTATAGTGTTTTCGATAACATTGACGTTGGTACTGTGTCAACACGAATACGACCACACTCCTGTGGTTGGTGTGAAGAAGGAAAGTCGATGTTATGATGATTTTAACAGGCCTCAGGTAAGTTTAATTATGTTTAATTCTGTAAACTTTGATTAGATTAAGTTCTATAAGTTGTTAAACTTGTCTGAAATGTTATTTTACCGTGGTAATACAAGATAATATTAAATTTACGATAGAATAACTTATTTTAAAAAGAAAATTTAATATCAACATAGTGTTAAAACGATTCTAATATCATACGATCGAAAAACGGCGTCAAAGACGTCTGGGGAATGACATTCAATGATAATTTTGGCTAGACGTCATTTACTTAGCCCGTACAAGTGCAGTCAGTTGGCCTTAAGAAGATTGTAATTTATTTTTATATTGAGTAAAAATGAATACAGGGTGGTCCGAACTGTATTCCGGAAACTTCGGCAGCATATTTTGCAGATACAAATAAGTAAAAGGGTTCTTATAAATGTATGTCCTAAAATGCTTATGCCCACTTGCACCGTTTGTATAAACTTTGTTTAAAGGCTAAACAGTGATTAACTACAATAAAATATGTATAGTTAATCAATGTTTAGCCTTTAAACAAAGTTTATACAAACGGTGCAAGTGGGCATTAGTGTCGGAGATACAGGGTGTAGAAGTTTAATCTTTATTTCGATTTTTCCAAATAATAAAAAAAACCAAATCAATATTTGGATGAAAATTGGTGTTTGGGAGTTTTTTGACAAGATAAATTTGATTTTGATGTCAATATGACTCCTACTTGTAGAGGACGCTACCTACATGTTTTTTAATGCGTTTGAAGAGTAATAACTTTTCGTGCGTGCCTGTATAAAACTACTGAGTAAAAAAATATATATTTAAGACGTTTTTTACGTAAAAAAAAGATCTCTTGGTAAAAATCGTTTTTGTGGCAAAAGTTCAACAGAAACTGTTTTATCATAATTTTTTCGAAGAAAAATTTAGGATTAATTTAAAAAATAATAATAAGTTAATTTATCAGTTCAGTCAAATATCTGTCTACTCAGCTTGTTTATTTTTTTGTCAATAATGACCTGATTGGACTATTTCCATTATAATTATGTTGAGAACAGTTGTTCGTAGCGATTTTTACCAAGAGACATTTTTTACGTTAAAAATCACGGAGATGTATATTTTTTCACTCAGTAGTTTTATACAGGTACGAACGAGAAAAGTTATTACTCTTCATAACAGTTAAAACACATATAAGTGGCGCCCCCTACAAATAGGGGTCATATTGCCATCAAAATCAAATTTCTCATGTCAAAAAACCCTCAGACAACAATTTTTATCCAAACATTGACGTTACTTCAGAAATGATTGGAAAAAAATCGAAATAAATATGACACTTTCGCACTCTGTATCTCTGAAACTAAGCATTTTCGGACATTAAATGTATGTCTGTCCAACAAGAAGATCCCTGACAGTGACAGTTGTGTCTGTCAGTTTAATTCACAGGCAAATTGTATTTTCTGTAATTTTTTGGATGATGTTTTTGGAATCTTCCCTGATTTCGTTGAACAGACTTTACGAACTATTTTACTTATTTTTATCTGCAGAATATGCTGACGAAGTTTCCGGAATACAGTTCGGACCACCCTGTAGATTTGTCTGTCTGGAAACGTTCTATCCTTTTTTAATCTTTCTATAATCAGCGTTAAATTTTCACAAGTTTATGTCAATTTTTAGTAAATGGCGTCTACAGAGATTGACCGCGCCAAAATTATCATCGATAGTCAATACCCAGCCACGTTGACATCGTTTTTTTTTTCGATACTCGTATATTTATCTACAATCTTTGGAATAAATGTAAAAAAATGAAAATGATAATTATCCAAATAATTGTTGAACGTATTCTCTGAAAAATGCTTCTTATTTAAAAGTTTTTATTTAATATTTACGAAAATGCATGGAGTAACAACAAACGATTACAGAAATATCTTCTCATAAACATTAACAATATCTTGTGTAAATATTAATTTAATTTATAAAATAAATGTTAAGCAGAAGCCAACAAAATGTCACGTTTGAGTGTACACGAATAAAATAAATCAGTAATACGTTTATAACATAAATATGTTGAGAAAATTGTGACTTCATTCTAAAAAAATATAATATACAAATTAAAAATTCTTAAAATATATAATATAAATAAACTAGCGTGTACCAGCGACTTCGTTCGCGTCGAATTAATCATTTGTAATGGTGATGATAAAGCAAAACAAGAATTTCCATTAACATACAAACTGGATAAAATTTTCTCACATTTATGTCAGCATGAGAAAAAACAATATGGCGATATTATTATATAACTCGGTAATATTTGAGGGATAGTTTCATCTCGTTGGAATTTGACTTTCGAAAAATCCGTTGGCCAAAAATAAGTTTTTTACGTCAAGCAGTTTAAGCAGAATCGTGGTTAAAAAATTACATAACTTTTTGGAACACCCTGTATGATTTTTTAAAAAAATTCAAAATATGTAAAAAACCAAATAAATTATGTTTGTCCAAGCGTTTTCCCGAAAGACTAACCGTTTTTTAAATAATAAATATTGTAATATTTGGCGTTTTCACCCTCTTGGAATTTGAGATTCGAGAAACCCCTTCTTATCGAACCTCTACACCCCACAGTCCAGTTTAAGCAGAATCGTGATTACTCAATGGTCATATTTTTTGAAACACCCGGTATAAATTTATAAAAAATCTTAAAATATGTAAAACAACAAAATAAACTATATGTTTAAGAGTTTATTCCGAAAAACTCACCGGTTTTTAAAAAAAATATATTTTAATATTTGAGGGATAGTTTCACCCCCTTAGAATTCGAGTTTCGAAAAATCCCTTCTTATCAAACCTCTACACCCTAAAGTCAATCCGTTTTCCAAAAATCAGCTTTTTACTTCAAGCGGTTTAAGCAGGATCGTGATTAATCAATGACCAGATTTTTCCAAACACCCTGTATACATTTTTTAAAAATCTTAAACCATGTAGAAAAAACAAAATAAAATATACGTGTTTAAGCGTTTTTTCGAAAACTTGACCGTTTTTTAAATAATAAATATTGTAATATTTGAGGGGTGGTTTCACCCTCCTGGAACCGGAATTTCGAAAAATCCCTTCTTATCGAACCTCTACACCCTAGAATCAACCTGTATGCCAAAATTGAGCTTCTTACGTTGAGTGGTTTGAGCAGGATCGTGATTAATCAGTATGTCAGTCACTTAAGGATTTTCTATATTAGTACAGATTTATTTTAATCCCTTTAATAACCAGTTTCTCGAATCTACTGTTTGGTTACCGTCTCAAATGCATCCTGTGGGCGTGGCAATTGTTCAAAATAAAAAGAACTGATGTATTTATAGTTGAGGATGCTCGCTTCAAGTGTGAAACGCAAGAGCAAAGCTCATTAACTGAGAAATGAAAGTTAAAAGTAAATATTTGAAGACACTTTGACGATTGACTATGAATTATATTTTGTTTCATTCATCATTTTTTTATATCCATATAAATTTTCAATTTAAAGCCAACTCTGACGCCGTTTGTTTTTCGATCGATACGGTACTTATCAAGTAGTACTTATGGTACAAACAAAGTGGAATGTTACATGCTTCTAGGGTATTATTAACTATATTTTGATTGTATATCATGTTTTTATATACGTATATTTTGATTATCATGACTTGTATAGTTATTGATCAACACAACTATACAGGGTGAGTCTATAATCGGTCGTAAGTGCAAATATTTTCAGGGCTGATAGATTTCGATAAAAGAAACATATTTTCTCTTTGCCGTTTTTCAGATAAGTCCAAAATAACGGAGTTATTTTACTTTGAATATTTCCAAAAAAAATGATTTTTTCCTAAAATTTTGAGATTCGATCTTTTCTGGATTTTCTTTTTTGTAAATTTAATCTACTACCTATGTTGCCATATTATCAAGAAATTATGTCTTTTTTTTACTAAAAATTAAAAACATTTCCAAATTTTTTTTTCAAAAAATTCCAAATTAAAAAAAAATCGCAAAAAAACTCTCATACTCGAGTTTCTCTCATACTCTCATACTTACGTGGATAAGTAAATCACTACGGAAACTGTCGCAAACATATCAACGACTTCCCTTTATCTTCTTTTTTTGTTGCACACGCGTTGCTTCTACTCTATCTATCCTTGTCGAGGACCTATCGCCCACGTGCCAAATTTAAGCAAAACATACATTTTAAAAATTAATTTATAAAATGTAGATATTTGAACAGTAAATTGAATATTTACTGTCACAAAAACTAAATTATATAAAAAATACATTTTGCCACTCCGTACGAAGTATCAATAAGTATCAATATTCTTAGTAAATCTAACCAGAAAGTATGCATGTAGTTGAATATAAATAAAAGAACAACTAAATACTTTACTTGCTTAAGAAAAGATAATTCGGGGACCTTTATATTAGAACTTCCACACACCAAACACTTTCTGACCATTTTTACGAGATTTAGAAAGTCCAACGATCTCCGTGCTGAGCTCTGTTTCAAGGGTCTATGGAAAATTGGTCAAAAAGAGAATTGAGGAGGATTACCGGGATATGGAGGCTGAAGAACAAGCGGGATTTAGAGCTGGTAGATCCACGGTCGACCATTTATTTTCGCTAACACAGATAATTGAGAAAAAGATGGCAAGAAATATATCTCCTCTACGTAGACCTCAAGAAAGCATATGATAGTGTACCCCAGTCTAAATTGTGGGAAGCCCTCGAGAAAACGAATATCAGCATAACATTAATTAAGGCTGTCCAAGAACTTTATAAGAACAACACTAGCCAAGTAAAGAAAGGACAAACAGTATCAAAGGGATTCAGCATAAACAAAGGTCTTAAACAGGGCTGCTGTCTATCGCCCACACTGTTTAAAATCTATTTGGAACAAGGAAGTGTGAACAGATGGGGATACCATTAAACGACTCGATACTTTACACTCTTTGTTTCGCTGATGATCAAATAATACTGACTCAAGACTACGAGGACCTGGAATATATGATCCGCAAACTAATTGAAGAGTATAACAAGTGGGGGCTGGAGGTATGTATGTGTATCGGCGGCGAACAACAGAACATAATCCTAGAACAGCAACAGCAAGAAATAAAACACTGCCAAAAATATAAATATCTTGGCATGCACATTACCAACGATGGTAGCCTTGATGAAGAAATTAAGTGCAGAAACAACCAGGGAAGACAAGCAATTAGACAACTCAACAGTATTTTATGGGATAAGGCCGTATCAAAAGAAAACTAACACAAAATTTATAACAGCATAGTTAAAAGTATCATTAGTTATGGTAGTGAAGTATGGCGTTTGAAAGAAAGAAACATTAAGTTACTCGAAGCTACAGAAATGGACTTTTGGAGGCGCGCGGCCGGAAAATCGAAACTGGATAGAGTTAGAAATGAAAGAATTCAGAACATCATGGGCGTTAAACAACGAATATCAGAAGACATCAAAATTAACCAACTCAGGTGGTACGGGCACGTACAAAGAATGGAATCAGAATCCCGAAAAAAGTACTCAATTGGACACCACAGGGCAAACGCAAGAGAGGGAGACCTAGACGGAGTTGGAGAGAAGGAATAGACGGGGACATCAGAACAAGAGGAATAGACGAAAACCTCTGGACAGACAGAGACCAATGGAGACTGGAAATCAGAAGACGTCGAAGAACGTTATAAACTGATTTGTATATATAGAAAGTCCAACGAAAAAAAAAATAGAAATATAATTGCCACAAACTTAAAATTAACTTCTCACTAAACACACTTGCATCCTTGGCTATATAAAATCGGGCGATGAAACTAATTAATACAATTTTTAAAATAAAAAAACGCAAAAAACAAGCGTTGTTACACAATGGAAATAAGATTATGACATTGGATGACATGATTATGAATTTATTGGTTTAATTTTTTACAAAAACTTCGACACCTAAATACCTAGATATATTTAGGCCAGACATATTCTAATATATCGTAAACCAATTCAATCGCTGCTTTATGAAAAATCGAATGAAAAATATGGTATTTACGTAATTTTAGCGATCTAAGTGGAAGTTCCATATTTGGCCAAGACGGGTTTGCATTCGTTGCACTTTTTTCCATGTCTCCTAAAGGGGCAGACCGCATGGCGCGGGAATGTTGAACCTAAGAAGTACCGACAGCCAGCGGTAGTACCACCATCGGCAATACAGCAGTACGTAACATAAAAGTGGAAACGGTATTTGGTTTGAGGCGAATTTCTACTCACGTCGTCCAGAGGCGTAGCATATGATACAAATGTCAAATGGCTAGTATTAGCACCGTCTATTAGACGGTGGTATTAGTGTCATCATTATCTGCTTTTGATCACGACAATAATTATCTTGTATATTTGTTCTCTCATTTGTGTCCATGTTTTAGTCCATGTTAGATTTGCAAGACCAAGACGCACGCAGTCGTCGTCTTGGTCTTGCATTTTTTCCTCTTAACTACTTCGTTTATTAAAGCCTATCGAATCCATATCAACTTCAGTCTTTTATAATAATTGTCGGAACGACCCACACCTAGAATCCAGACTTGTGTATATTAATTGCCTCAAGTATAATCGTTAACGACAGGATCCATTTGACAGTGACAGCAGTGTTTGTCATTTCAGTGTCTGTAGTTCATAGAAAAATTCTATTTTTCGGCATTTTTTGGATGTCGTCTATTGAAATTTTCTTGGGGCTTTACTGTTACCCAAAGACAAATTTTAGATTGCTCACTCCCATGTTATTGTGGGGCCGTATTTTAGCTGCATCTACTAGAATAAGGAACATTATTAGTATTTTAATAAAGCACGCTTTTAGATGTTTCAAAAAACTTTTAATAAGAGTAACTTTAACTCTACATATATGTTTCGGCTTGTTAGGCCTTTTTCAAGAGTTTTTTAAGAACTAATCGTCTAACTACACTGTAACTATATATATATATTTGCTATGGGGGGTGGGTTCAGAGAGTTTACAATAGGGGTAATAAAAAATGTGTTTTTGTTGGTCGTTAACATTATTTTCGTTTTTAACAGATTTTAGTATTTCTAACTGTTCAATGTAATTTAAGCGTCTACCTTTTGTTTCTCTGTGTAGTAACTTAATTGAGTTTTCATTAATTTTGTGATTATTTACTATACAATGAGTTGCAAGACCAGAACTATGCTGGAGATTATTAATAGACTTTACATGTTCTTTAATCCTTATATCTAAATTTCTACCTGTTTGGCCTATGTACACGGCATCACAATCATTGCAATCCACCCTATATACACCCGACTTATTTTTTGACATTAGTTTTGTCTTTATTATTTAATAAAATTTGATCTAAATTTCTTTTATTTACGTTAATAGTTTTTACATCCTATTTTATTGAGATTATTTGATATTTTGTTAGTTAAATTAGGAATGTAGTTTAAAAGTCGATAATTGTTATTGTCTTTAGAATTAGCGGAATAAAATTTTTCATTAATATTTTCTTTTGTTTTTTCTTTAGCATATTATCAATAAGGGAACACTTATATCCATTGTTGATGGCGATTTGTTTAATAATATTTAGAATATAGAATAAGGAACATTTTTTACAAAATAGGAACAACCTATATTACCTACATCATTACCGCCTTTATTTCAATCGCAGTTCTTTCCATTTTTATAATCAGATTAGGTTTAACTAGAATTATTACTTACTTAAGTAAGTAAGTAATAATCAGCTTTCAACTATTAAGTTACAAGTTCTAGTTAAACCTAAGTGTTGGTTTTAAATTAAAAAACAAAACTTAGGACTAACTAGAGCTAGTAGCTTAAATTAATTTCTATTGAGAATAATTAGTAAAACAACACAATATTTACAATAAAAAACATTTATTTAATAATGATTAGGCTTAGAAGTTTTAGTTTTATCCGGATTAATATCTAGTGAATAAAATGTTGCATATTTTAGGTCTAAAGCTTTATTTACCTTTTGCCAAGTTGAATTCAAATCAAAAGAATCAAAAATGTGAAATATTCGTATCATCAGCATACATAACTATGTTAGAGTGATAAATTAGCTGCATGTATTAAAAATAACAGGGGCCTCAAGATGGAACTCTGAGGACCTGAAACTGATATAAATTTTTCCATCGTAGATCCAGCAACCCCTCACTTACTTCTAAAATGTATATAATCTATATGTGCTTTCATAATTAAATCTACTAGTACTTGGCTTACTGCCGGAAGTGTTTTATATTTTAATTGCCCATTAAAAGTATAATCTCCAGTTGTAAAATGTCAATAAGCTTTAAAAATTTTCTCTGGTGGTATATTGTCTTTTATAAATTTGTTTCAGCTGCGTATCGCCGAAATAACAAACTCGGGCAAACTATTTTTTGGATTCGGAAAGCAATGATCTTTCGGTCCGTTGTTTAATTACTTCGAAATACCACAAAGTGAGGGCATGGTGATGGTCAATTTTATTTCGCACAGAACAAAAATCCAAAAAAAAAAACACAACGGTGGCAAATCGTACATCCTTAATAAACCGCACTAAAAATTATGAAACAAACTCGATAGTTTTCGATAAACATACTTCTTATTTAGAAACAGACACATCGAAAGTTAAAATTTATCTTTGTTTACCTTTTTTACAAAATGGTAAACTAAAGTGGAGGAGGAACAGGAAACAGGAGGTTTAATTACGATCTTAGAAGTAGCGTTATTGCTGTTATCCATAATAAATAAAAAATTCTTTTAAAACTTACCAAAATTTAAAACTACTGTTTGTTTTTAGAGTACTATTTATTTACTGTAATTCATGCGTGATACCTTTTATATATTTTATCGGAGTTTCTTTTTATTTTGATTTCTTTTTTTTTTCGGTTTAATATAATCTCTCTAAATTTTTTTTCTTCCAGAGATGCATTCCTGAATTCGAAAATGCCGCCTTCAACGTGGAAATGGACGCTACCAACACCTGCGGAGCGGCCGGCGACCTGGAATACTGCGTCCAGACCGGAGTGACCGGTATCAGGAAGTCCTGCGAAGTGTGCAGACCTGGCCAACATCACGCCCGTTTTCTTACGGACTTCCACAACGTGGACAGTCCCACGTGGTGGCAGTCGGAGACCATGTTGGAGCAGATACAGTGGCCTAACCAGGTCAATTTGACGTTAAACTTTGGTAAATACCTGTTTTCTAATGAATACGTAATGGATAGAAGTAATCAATTTTTGAACATTAATGCCAGAAAGAAAATTTTTGAAACCGCTAAACAAATATTGCATTTTAAAAATACTTGACTATAAAAGTAGATATGTATTATTTTTCCAGTGCACATTTTTTCCGTTCATGGACATCATTATTTTCAGCTTATTCAACCATTTCCGATTATGGTGTAGCCTATTTTTTCGTGTGTACTATACTGTATTTTTTGTGGTCTATCTATTGTCCGTCCTTTTTGCCAGGTGTCCTGCCCATTGCCACTAGGGGGATTTGATTCTGTGGATGACATCTATTGCCTGGGTCTTTTGTCGTATCCACTCTATTCATTTACGGTCTCTCTTGGTTATTCCCAGCATATTTCGTTCCATTGAGCATTGTGCGACCTGCAGATTCCTTATAATGTCCGTTTTAAATGTCCAGAAGTCATGACTGGCAGTACACATTGGTCGAATGTTTTCTTCTTTAGATAATGTAGATATATTTAATATCGTATGATCAAGTGTTACATTTATTTTGTACTATTATATGAAATGGAATCCTGGGCCCTGAAAGTGACTACAACGAGGAAGATCGAAGCCTTTGGAATGTGGTTATTTCCTCGGATACTGAAGATACCTTGGACGTAGCTTATGTCAAACGACTCCGTAATCGCATGGACCACGAAAGAAAGCTTCTAGGCATAAAGAAAAGGAAATCAATATACAGGGTGGTCCGAACTGTATTCCGGAAACTTCGGCAGCATATACAGCAGTTAAAATAAGTAAAAATGTTCGTATAAATGTATGTCCTAAAATGATTAGTTTTGGAGATACAGAGTGTAGAAATTTCGTTTTTATTACGATTTTTTCCAAATAATTTCTGAGGCAACCTCAATATTTGGATGAAAATTGATGTCTGGGAGTTTTTTGACATGAGAAATTTAATTTTGATGTCATTATGACTCCTATTTGTAGGGAGCGCCACCTACATGTATTTTAACTGTTTTGTAAGAGTAATAACTTTTCGTCCGTACCTGTATAAAACTACTGAGTGAAAAAATATACATTTCCGTTTTTTTTACGTAAAAAAGGTCCCTTGGTAAAAATCGCTAACTAATTGCTATAAACTCCTACTTACATTAGGACTACTTATTTTAGGACATTTATACGAACTTTTTTACTTATTTTTATCCGCAGAATATGCTGCCGAAGTTTCCGGACTACGAGCCCTAACAACTATATGTTGGGATAAGGTAATATTTTGGAATTATTGCCCTGGTTTTTCAAAATGACTGAAAAATATATGTTTAATTTTTTAAATATAAACATAGCCATATAGCCTAAACAACTTGACAATATTTTTATGAATTTGTAAATCAATCCATGTTTACAGTAGCGGATTTTGTTCATAAAAGGACAAATTTGCTGACAACTAAATGTTGGGACAAGTATTTTTAAATAATTAATATAATCATAGGCGGCTTTGCTATAAACGTCACAAATGTCGCAAACTGTTTACTTCAGCATTGACAGCTTGTAAGTGACTCGATACTTTGAGTAGTGAGATTTGCTGTAAGTAATTTTAATTTTTTTAATTTTCAATTTTGTTAATTATTTAATTCAAAGTAATGGTCTGTGGAAAAGCTACAAATCAAAAACTACGCGAAATTATCATTCGTCAATACAGTACGGGAAAAACAATTCGAAAAATTTCTGATGATTTAAGTATTCGAAAAACCACGGTCTTTAATATAATAAAAAAATACGGCGAATATGACAATGTAGACGTTAGAGGTAAAAGTTCGGGAAGGCCAAAAGTTGTATCTCAAAGAGGTTTACGAAATTTAGTAAAAATTTGCAAGTCTGCGAGAAGAAGTACTCTTCGCGAAGTAACAGTTAAATGGAATACTGTAACTGGTTTAAATGTATCAAGAGAATGTTGCCGAAAATATATTCATAAATGCGGTCTGGGGTTTTACAAGGTAAACTTTATTTTGTGTGGATAATCAATTACCTGAAGATTATTGATACAAATTCTTATTTAGGCCAAAGAAAAACCGCTACTGACAGAAATTCAGAAGAAAAATCGCTACAATTGGGCAAAATCTAAATTATCGTGGACACAAAATGATTGGAATAAGGTCATATTTAGCGATGAGTCTAAATTTGATGTTTGCGTTGGAGATCATCGAAAACGAATAATACGAAATAAAGCAGAAGCCTTTCATAAAGATTGCTTAAAGAGGGTTGTTAAATTTCCTAAGGGGATTATGGTTTGGGGTTGCATGTCAGCAAGAGGTTTGGGCAAATTAAATTTATAGATGGCACTGTTAACGCCCAAAGATATCAACATATACTTGAGACCTCACTCTTGCCTAGTGCTCAAGAATTGTTTCCAAACGAAGACTATATTTTCCAACAAGATGGAGCATCGTGCTATTCAGCAAAATCAACTAAAAAATGGTTCGGAAATAATAATATAAAAGTTCTATCCCATCCTGCAAGTAGTCCGGACCTCAATGTTATAGAAACTGTGTGGCATAAAATGAAGCAATATTTAAGAAACCACCCTCAACGAACAATTTTTGATTTGCGGGCAAAACTGCAGGAAATTTGGGATAATTTTTCTCCTCAAATGTGCCAATCTTTGGTAAATACAATGCCATTAAGAGTTCAGGCAGTTGTTAAGGCGAAAGGTGATGTAACTCCGTATTAAACAAATTTCTTGTTGTGCTGTCCCAATATATAGTTGTCAGCAAATTTGGCTTGACTTTGGCAAAATAAGCTATTATCAAAAGTGATTTGTTTGCAAAGTTATAAAAATATAGTAACATTGTCTAGATCATATTGTAATGTTTGAATTTAGAACAATAAACAAAATAAATTGAGTCGTTTTAATAAATTACTATTTTTTATTGCAAAAAAGACCTTGTCCCAACATATAGTTGTTAGGGCTCGTATAGTTCTGACCACACTGTAGATTGGCCCTATTCTTAGGAGCGACAAATACCAGTTATTATGGCCCTGCCACACACTCGTCGAGTGGCATAGGAAGTAACAAGGAAAGGAGGCAGAAACGTAGTGTGGCGACATTACTCGTCATGCTGCATATCATGCTCCTCGTCCTGCAAACCATTCCTTGTTTTGTCTGTTTTTTGGGCGCGAGTCAAAGGAGCGGCATATAAGCGTTGCGAGTAATTACGCCAGCGGAGCAGAATGTGGACGGAGAGGACAACATTGCGGTAGCACGAGGAGTAGGGCGATGAGCAGCGCGAGGATCATAGTGTGGCAAAGGCATTACACCTAATTATCAAAGGTAAAATCGACAGGAGTGCATGTTCAAACACTCATCAGAACAGCAGAAAGACGAGAAGAATTGGCTGTAGTTATCGCAAATCTTCGCTGAGAACAGGCACCTGAAGAAGAAGATATTTATTGATTTTTGAATTTTATTATTGACGGTTTTTGAGCTAGAGCTGATATTATTTGACCACCATGTACAGTACGTCTATCCGTTCTGCGGCTACGGGGTATCCGTGAGAGGGGAAACGATATTCTCTCGATGTTTATCGTAAAAAATTAGAGGACGCGTCCCATCAATAAAAATTCGACAAATTTACAAGTAGCCAATAAAATGAGTGGGCGGAGCGATTTGCGGAGACGTACTCGTCAAGTCGACGTATAAAATATATTGCTGTTTATTTAAATGTTTTTTGTCCGCATTCCTTTCATAGACACAGATCCAGCAGACGAACTGTATAGAGTGTTAGCTCTAATCACATTTCCTGGCGGTTGACTAGTTTAAACGACGATTTTGGCAAAACCGTGGCCAGATTTAGCCTGCCGGAAGCTATAAATAACTCGGTTAAGGCAAAAAGGCAAAGTGGAGGTCTATTAGATGCTTTCTAATGTAGACAAGACGACAAATCGGTCGCAGACAAGGCGTAGGCGACCGGCTACCGAAATTATCAGGCTTTGGGACGAGAATGTTTCGATAACAAACAGACGACAGATAAAGTTACAAGTTCAACGGCTATTTATCGCTCGTGATGAACCAGACTGGCCAGATATTCCTCTTTTTTTGTTGTCTTTGGTTAGTGACATCGGAGAATGCGTGGGAGAATTATTGTTGTCTCAGTTGCAGATTATGATTAATAATAATGGTTGTTTTCTAATTATAATCGATTGAAATTTGATGTAAGCATGTTTGAGAATTGTTGACAATAGTGGAAATTTGTAAGGTAGTTTTTGAGTTTTTCAGAAGTGAAACTTCTTTACGCGCGCTGGGAGTAAAAATTCAAAGCCGTAACACGACAGAAATCAACAAAAGAATTAAGTTAGCTTGGAGTACTTGCTAAATGGACCGATGTGTACTACCAGTCATGACCTATGCATGCGAAACCTGGACACTTAAAACGGACATTATAGGGAAACTGCAGGTCGCACAACGCTCAATGGAACGAAATATGCTGGGAATAACCAAGAAAAACCGTAAAAGAATAGAGTGGATACAACAGACCACAGAATAGAAGTGGCAATGGGCAAGTCACCTGGCAAGAAGGACGGACGACAGATAGACAACAAAAATGACAGCGTGGTACCCACAAGGAATTAAGAGACCTAGAAGAACACCAAGTCTGAGATGGGACCATGTAGAGGTGGGAATTCTAGTTCCTTGGGAGGAACTATAGTCTGTCTAACGAGAAGATCCTTGACAGTGATAGATGTGTCTGTCATTTTAATTTCAAAGTAGTTTATTTTATTTTACAAAGAAATAAGTTGGTACAACTGGAACGCATAGCAGGAAATATTTAAAATTTGATTGACAAGATGACAAGTGATTACTTCAATTCAAAATATTGTGAAAAAAAACTGTATAAACCTGGAAAAATGTAATCGAGTTATTTTATTTAATAAAAACGGTATGTGTTCAAACAAACAAATCAAACAAGAACAAGACACTACATACCAAAAAAATATAAAAAAGAACTATTATTTACTTTCAAGCTTTATGAAACTACCCGCATTTATGATTATATTTATCAATATAACTTATGTACAAATACAAATTTGTAATATTCCACAGGAATAAATAAAACAGCATAGGTAAATAAAACAAACTATTTTATTAATAATAACTTCTACCAAATTTTATACCTTAAAGGTTGATTAATTAACTTTAATCTTAATTTTTTTAAACCAGTACCTTTTGACATTATTTTTCGGCAGTACTAAAATCCATTATTTGCCTATCGTGTGATGTCGATATTTTACAGCTACTCCAGTTTTTAGTATGTGTTTAGTTTGATCCTTCTACCTTATACGAGATGCACTTATCTACGACGAAATGGTATAAAAACTTTATCGATGGCAACTTCATTGGTGTATAAGACTTTCTGCGTGGCGAGTATTAACCATAAACTGTGCTCTGGGTATACAGTTAATTTTCACTCGATTTTTCCTCCACTTGACTTCAAAAGACACAAAACACGCGAAATAATACGAATCAAAATGCATCATCTTCCAAAACGCAGGGTATTTAACAAAAGTTGACACAAAATTATAACCTAATAATTTGGCAAGACTTTGACAAACGTCAAAAATGACAAGAATCTAAAGGCGAGTTCATACGCATCGGCGTCCGTTTGTCGTTCATCGTTCTGTCAAACCAATAAAATTGAAATAGGATCTGTCATTTTTTAAATAAACCAATAAAACTGGTTAAAAACATCAAGACACGACGCACGACGGATTTATATTTAAACCCATCCATAGATAACTTAAGAATTATTAGAAACTTTTTTTAGTAAAATAAATAGATTGGTATGGGACGTCATCTGCTTTTCTTCTGTCATCGTCTGTCGAAATCTTACCTGAGAAAAAAAACAGAGTATAGTTCCTTAATTCTAGTTCCTCCAGAGGAATAGTTCCTTGAACTAAGTCTTTAGTTCACAATAGTTTCCGACTAACATTGACATCCCCCTTGTTTGCTAATGCGTTTCGTTTGCTAATGCACAGTATGATCTGTATAATTTTTATAATGTACGGAGATATAACGAGACGTGTAATTGTGTATGTTAAAAACATATAGGTAAGTTTTATTGCAGATAAAAAAAAATAAAACAAAACTCAAATCAGAATTTAAAAAGCTATATCACAAATCAATTGGAGCAAATATTACAAAAATTTTACGAAAAATTGTATTTTTCCTCACTTCAAGCTTTTGTTTTTGTTTAAAAGTTCAGAATATCTACTTCGTTTTATAAGGTATTTCTTAATTTTAGGGATCTAAAGTGAAACATTCCCATAAAATATTTAAAAAACAAACTAAAAATCAAAAACAGTATCCACGACAAATTTCTGTGGTAATTACGCCGCGCCGGCTGTGGCAATAGACAAGGCCGAATCCATCGTCGTCGCCTTGTATTATATCTCGGATCTGCCAACTGAATAGATTCCCGTGAACTAGTCTTTTAATAGTTCCTCTATGTCCGGATCCGATAACATACGGCTGGCACTTCCACGCCTGCCTAGCACCAATCGCGCTGGCTGATCCATACGTAAACTAGTCTTTTATTTAGTTCCTTTAGGTCGGGATCCGATAACATACGGCATACGGCTAGCACTCCCCACTCCTGCCTAGCATCGATCGCGCTGGCCCGCTCCATTCGTACAATACGTAAACTAGTCTTTTATTTAGTTTAGTTCCTCTAGGTCCGGATCCGATAACGTACGGCTGGCACTCCCCACTCCTGCCTACCATTGGGCTACGCGCGCTAGCCGATCCGTCGCCGTCGCATATTATTCTATATCGGTCACAGTGTCGATCCCGGAATAGGTCCTGAGGAACTAGTTCTTTGAGAAACCAGGAACTAGTTCCTTTCATTCCGGGGTCGGAATAGTTCATTGGAACTAGTTCGTTCACGAACTACACACCTCTAGGACCATGATATTATAATCCAATAAAATTCTCATTTAAAAAAAATTACGGGCAAGCTGATTTTTCAGAGTTTGTCAGCGACTTCTTCTGAGTGTAAAATAAACAAAATCGTAAATTTTCCCATTGCGGTCTTTGAGCAATAGGAATGGTTTTTTTTAAACTGTACTACAACAAAATAATTAGACGCAAATTGTACATAAGAACATTCTCTATAGTTAAGCGTAACTTAACCTAACTAACCTTAACCTTTAGCGTAATTGGACAAGCAACTTTTCCTCATGATTTTTTTTTTGTAGCTTCATTTTTTTTGTAGCTTCATTCATGAACAAATTGGAGTAGTTTCATAATAATTTTTGTTTAGTTCTACAAATTTACCAACTTAAAGGTGTTCATATTAAAATTACATGCAAACTTCCCTATGATATGTATTTATTTCCTCAAAACGAAACATGGAATTCATCAAGTGAATAAATATTAAGATTTTTTTTTATTTGTAAAGCTACCACCACTTGTTCATGATATGGGCGGTATCTCCAAAAATAGTCAAGTTACAAAAAAAGTTCATAAGGCAAAGGTATGTGTACTCTTATTTTGAACGAGTTTCCTAGGGTGAATTTGCTGAAAAAAGAGTAACATTGAAAACTACCCCAATTTGTTCATGAACTGGACGCTATCACCAGAAATAATCAAGCTACAAAAAAAATTAATGAGGAAAAGTAAAACAAACTTTTTGAAAACTACCCCAAAGGGCTCGCGAAACGGCCGCTAAGTCCGGAAATAATAAACTTATAAAAAAAATCATTAGGCGAACTTATAGAGAATGTTCTTATAAGTACAATTTGCGTCTAATTATTTTGTTGTAGTACAATTTTAAAAAACCACCCTTATTGCTCAAAAACTCCGATTGCTCGAAAATTTCCGATTTTGTTAATTCTCTATACGGCGATACAATTTTACAGGGTGTTGTTTTATTACTTTGTAATATCGATTATTACATCGAAAGCCAACTAATTAAATCTGTAACTTTTTTCGTACAAAGTTTTTTAATATCTTCATTTTAACTTTTGCTAGGTAAAACAGAATTATTTAATGAATTTGCCAGTTTTTAAATTTTATATTATCTTTCTTTGGCAGAGAATTTTGTTATTATTTTTCAATTAATTTTAAGAATATATTATATCTTATAAGATTTTTTTTGCAGGAAAGGCTTTTGATATAACCTACGTTAGGTTATGGTTTATGTCTCCACGACCAGAAAGCTTTTATTTATCGAAGAAATCCTACGAAGGTGGTCCATGGGTACCATATCAGTACTACAGGTAAGACGCACAATGCTATGAGACCAGGAGATGGGAAATTATTTACTTGTATATATTTTTATAGATTAACAAAACCTAACTGAACCTAACAAAACCTGTCTTGAACATATCCCAATAAAAAAGATCAAACTATAGTCAGGATCCAGCTCTGAAGCGTTCTGTTAATTTGGTGAATGTAGGGGTAGACAACCTTAATATTAATTTGAACAGACTTGAATTCTCCAATGAATATCAGAGGGAATAATATACTGGGAGTTCCATTTAAAATAAAAGAGTAATTTGCTTTTAAAAGTGGTCAATGTTCAATATTAATTTTCTCTCACCCTGTATAACTTTTGGCGTCAAGTTTTAATCTGATTTAAAGTACAATGATTCTTTTAACTACATATTAGGTTACACCGGGTAAATACCAGTTTAGGTAGTTTTTTCTGAAATTTAAAATTTGTTCTTCATGTTTTGAAAATACTAAATATGTCAAAAATCTTACATTTTAGTCATATACTTCTCCCCATGAAACTGACCTTTCAGGGGGGACACCCTCTAGAACTCTGTATATTTTTAAAAAATGCTCTAAATAATTAACCTATACATATATCCTCACAAAATTTCCTTTCAATACAAAAACTGTCGTTCTACTTGGAGCCCCGCGTCGTATCAGAGGCGCCACCCTGTATATAAATTGATACGTCTTTTTTTAAAAAAAAAATCTTAATATCTCCCGCCTTTTTCCTATGTTTACTGTACTGCGTTTTTCTTCTAGCGCCACCTGTCGAGATACTTACGGACTACCAGACTCGACCCACACGAAACGCGGTGAAGAAACCCGCGCACTCTGCACATCAGAATACTCCGACATTTCGCCGCTACACGGCGGTAATGTCGCTTTTGGAACGCTGGAAGGCAGACCGTCGGCCTACAATTTCGATACCAGTCCGGAATTACAAGTAAGTCTACATTTTTACAATATATATATCTGCCGTCTGAGCATCGAAAGCACTCCTATTGAATTTAGGTGAATAAGATACTTAAAAAGAAGAAATTAATTTGGTGAATTTTAACATCTTTGAGAAGATAGGTACGTCTTTCCATAAGAACCTTCGTTTTTTGCTGATCCCATAAATATTTCTGCTCGCGTACTAAATCAATTAACTTTTCCGAATCCATTTTCATATTCAAGAAAAGTGCGAACAGCGCAAATATCCCAACCAGACGGGATCTGTGGACGGGATCTCTGTTAAGTTTGGTTAGGTTAGGTTGCTGGAGTTTGGGATCCTGTCGATCCTGTTTGATCCACAGACCAACAACATTTAGATTGGCAACTCTCGTCATTTATCGAGAACGCGTTTTACAGCGCTCGGTGACTTGAAGACGTACTAAATCTTCATTTTTCCCGCCAGGTGCTGGGAATTTAAAATTTGAAATTGAATTGCATTATTGCTTTTTTACCAAACGTGAAAGAATTAATACTGTTTTTTTAGTTTTCTGTAAAATATAACTTTTATTTTACAGAAAACTAAAAAAACAGTATTAATTCTTTGACGTTTAGAAAAAAGCAATATGTATATAATATTTCTAATAAGACTGATACAGAACAATAATACAAAAACCAATATGAAACAAAAATTTTATTAAAAATCATCAAATAATACTATAATATTATCCATTCAACATTTTAATAAAAAATAATTCGTTATATAGATTAGTACCTTAAGTAATATACATACACATTATACAGACATTTTACATTATAATATAAACAATATTTATCAACAAAAGCAATAAAAACATTAAACTTTATAAAGGAAAACCGAAAAATCAAACTGCAAACACAACCACACTTATCACAACAGAAATTAACACACACTTCCGCGGCAAATGTCCAAGAAAGACTGATCATTCTGATTGGTCCTGGTCCGGTCGTAGCTCACGTTGTATTGTCGGTAAGCAAAATCCCAGTCCAAAAATCTTGACGATCAGCGCCATCACCCGTCATAATTGGGAAACTTTTGCTGGAACCATTTTGAATATTTCACTTACATGGCCCTGGAATAGATTGAAAAATTTTAAAATTCAGACGGTCGCCCGTCTTTTGAGCAACTACCAATCATATAAAACAGAAAAATTCTTATTGGCTGTCGCTGTCCCCCACCAGGCGACACTAGCGCACGGTGTCTTGAAGTCGTACTAATTTTGTGGTTTGACGTTTCACGGAGAGTGCGCAGGGCCTGGTTTGATCCCTCACTCGGAGGGCTTGAGCCCATTGCGATACTCCTAGAGTATTGTATACCTCTCACTATTTCTTTGCAAAAGCCATTTATTCTTTTTCTCTTTTTTTTTCAAATTTTGCATTTGCAATTTTTTCTTTCTTAAAGCACTTCCAGCTCTTTGCAAAGTTCCTGATGTCGCTTATGTTGGCTTCTGCTGCTTCCTCGTCTTTTTAGATCGCCGTCTCACTTCAGAGGTTGGCGATCCAACTCGCTATGAAGGTGCGTGAAACCGCACCTCTGAACCTTTCAATCGACCCTTCAGATAGGCGTTTTTCCTTCTTCCCACTGATCTCCTGCCTTCAATGACCAGTCTGATCACCTCATATCGTTCACCCCTCATCACGTGACCGACGTACTGTAACTTCCTTTCCTTCGCCGTTGATAGGAGCTCTTTAGACGATAAAAGTACATCTCAAAAGCGTTTATGCGGTTTACCAATGTATGATTGAGTGTCCAACTCTCAGAGCCGTAGAGAAATACTGGAAAGATGTAGCAACGCAGCATACGTATGCGCAGTTCGAGGCTTAGATCTCGGCTGGTGAAAAGGGTTTTCATGGAAGCAAAAGAGCGTCTGGAATGTTCGATCTTCCCCAAAACTTGAGTTTTGGGGTCGCAAGCTTCGTTATCGAGGGCTAACGATATTTTATGGACGATACTTGTCTACCACCTTGTCAGGTACACTTTGACCGTGTCAACTAGACTTTTATGATTTATTGTATATTTAAATCGTAAAACAAATGACATACTACTCGTACTACAAAGAGCCTTTACATCTTATATCACAAGGGCGTAGATATGGGGGAGGGATAGAGGGGGTAATTAACCCCCCCGCCCCAGAGCGACATAAAAAATTAATAAATTTCTATTTTATTAGGTAAACTAAAAAATATATTTGTCCTTTCTGTGTTTTTTTTTAATAATGTTTATATTGGTATAAACAATTTAAATTTTAAGATTACAGTTGAGGGTTGGAACCTTTGGTGTTACACAGCAAAATAAAAACACTAAATCACCACAATGCACCAAAACACTTTTACTTTTACACTGGACGCGCGTTTTGCTAACCATGTTAGCATCATCAGCAGATGATTATAAACTAAAGTACAATCTACAAGTTGAGCGTTTATATACTCGCTCAGTGGGCACCGAGTGGGCGTGGCAAAATCTAGCCAACCGAGTCAGAGCCCACTGAGCGTAACAGTTAGATTTCCGCCACTAGAGTAGTAGGAACAAAGAACTTGAAGGAATTGGACCGTTGTCTCTCTTCATACTCTATATAAGTTTATAACATCTATACAATGTTGATAAAGAACATTGTATAGATCTTACTAATTTAAAATTAATTAAACAAGTCTCAAATTACAGGCAATTAGATACATATGAAAGCGTCAGAATTAATAAATGTAAAGATAGTATGAACAGAGACAACGGTCCAATTCCTTCAAGTTCTTTGTTCCTACTACTCTAGTGGCGGAAATCTAACTGTTACGCTCAGTGGGCTCTGACTCGGTTGGCTAGATTTTGCCACGCCCACTCGGTGCCCACTGAGCGAGTATATAAACGCTCAACTTGTAGATTGTACTTTAGTTTATAATCATCTGCTGATGATACTAACATGGTTAGCGAAACGCGCGTCCAGTGTAAAAGTAAAAGTGTTTTGGTGTATTGCGGTGATTTAGTGTTTTTATTTTGCAATTTAAATTTTGTTAAATAATCACCATGTTGTCTATTTGCTATAAATGATTTACCAAAATTTTAGCTACTCTGGATTTGTAGTGGTTTATATCTACAAAAAAATCAGGCTAGTTCGAATTGCTTCGAGTTTTACCAAAAAAAAATGTTGCCTACTGGTCACTCCTTTACAAAATCTCAATCAAACACCGACGGCGACGCCCCTGTGTCCTATTTTTTTTTAAATTAAAGTCTGACAACTCCATAGACTTAAAATAAAATATAGACTGAGCATCTCATTCATAAATAGCTGGAACATGCGGTCAGACAATATCTTGTTATTGTTGTGTTATTGTTTTAGGTTATAACGAGTGCGACACGAGCGATAGATAGGTTGTCTCTGTCGTAACGGTCGTTCCCTGACGACTCTGCTGAGAAACACAACACTGTCTTTCGTTTCTCAAGTACACCTGAACTCTCCGTAAAATAATTTTAGAATAAAGCGGAATATATTTTTAATAAAAACATTATTAATTATTAACAGGGTTATAATTATGATTTTGTTACAATGTAAGTAAGTAAATAATGTAATGTAAGAGAAAAAATTCAGATTTTACATTTTACTAAAATATTATCTAAATAAGCGCCTTTCTACAACAACGCCACTGACTCCCAATGGGTAAATTGAGAGTTGCCTACCGGTCAAAAGTCGTTTCAAGACTTAAATGGATTATTTAAGTCAAATTTCTTGCAAATTTGGCACTGGCGAACCATATTTTATAGTTCTTGAACAGAAAAAGTCAATAAAATAAACACTTAAGCACTACAAGCTAAGAAAATGCGTTAATACAGCCGGGGAGATAGCGGCAACAAAGCTTTACCGCACACGTGCGACACGTACTACAAGGTAATAAATGAATGAATAGGCTCCCTCGCCTCTAATCGGTGTTGTCATATTGTAAAGAACTTATCCTTTTTAAACAGTATCCGACTTATAATTTAGTAGTATAAGGACTATTTAATACATCTCTGGAATATTAAAACCTACTTTATTAAACTGTAGTATTAATATCTCAATATATGTGTATAACAAGAAAAAAAAATATTGATAATATTAAAGACGTGACAACATAGGCTGGATGACAAAGGCTCGGTCGACTGTACCCAGAAGTAAACATGTGTACAAAAAATATTGTTTGACCGCGTTGAGATGTAAATAGCGTAGTCTATATTTTATTTTAAGTCTATGGACAACCCTTACTCTACCTCCCCCAGAAAAATAAAGTATCTACGCCCTTGTTATATCATGGGTGGTACCTTTAATAAAGTATTCAAAAAATATGTTTCTTTCTTCAGGAATGGGTGACAGCCACGGAAATTATGATCACCCTTGACCGGATCAACACCTTCGGTGACGAAGTGTTCGGCGACCAGCAAGTCTTAAGATCCTACTTCTACGCCATAGCGGATGTTTCAGTTGGTGCACGGTGCAAGTGCAACGGCCACGCTACGGAATGCGTGGCCAGTACCGGCACCAACGGTACCAGATCTAGGGTGTGCCGGTGCGAGCACAACACTGCAGGACCCGACTGCGGGGAGTGTCTGCCATTTTATAACGATGCTCCATGGGCCAGGGCAACAGCTAACAACGCACACGAATGTAAACGTAAGTTTTAAGCTCAGATTAATTCTAAAATTTTAGAGAAACCTAAATTCATTGTTATTTTCGATTTTTTTGGTGTGTGTATTTCTAAATCAGACAGCGATACAAAAAGGGTATTGGTAGTACCAGGCCCTTAAATTGTGCAGGGACGGCGCGGTTTCCGTAAAAGGAGAGGCAGTACCGCGGCTAATTGCTCGCTGTATCCAAACCGATCGTAAATCAGGCCGCGGCTCGGCCCTAATTGACGTGTGCCTTTGTTTCGTACCGTAGATGGTACCCGAATGGTTAATTTATTCAAAAACCATATTGGTTATTGTTTTGAAAAAATACTCGCGCTCCGCTCCATACTTACTTTCTCATTTTTTGATTTTGGAAAAATATCTTGTGCAACCTCTTAAATTCGTTTAATTGTTTAATAAATTAAGTACCGTAGACTGGAAAAAAAGCGACGTCAAAGACAGCTGGGGAAGATATTCGATTATTATTTTATTAAATATTACTAGCGTGTGCTCGCGACTTTGTTCGCGTCGAATTAATCATTTTTAATGGTGATGATAAAGCAAAGCAAGCATTTCCATTAACATACAAACTGGATAAAATTTTCTCACATTTATGTCAGCACGAGAAAAAAACAATATGGCGATATTATTATATAACTTGGTAATATTTGAGAGGTTCGTTGGAATTTGACTTTCGAAAAATCCGTTTGCCAAAAAGAAGCTTTTTACATCAAGCAGTTTAAGCAGAATCGTGCTTATTCAATTACCTACCCAACTTTTTGGAACACCCTGTATGATTTTTTAAAAAATTTCAAAATATGTAAAAAAACAAAATAAATTATGCGTGTCCAAGCGTTTTCCCGAAAGACTAACCGTTTTTTGAATAACAAATATTGTAATATTTGAGGGGCGTTTTCACCCTCTTGGAATTTGAGATTCGAGAAACTCCTCCTTATCGAACATCTACACCCTAAAGTCAATCCGTTTTCCAAAAATCAGCTTTTTACGTCAAGCGCTTTAAGCAGGATCGTGATTAATCAATGACCAGATTTTTCGAAACACCCTGTATACATTTTTAAAAAATCTTAAAATATGTAAAAAACAAAATAAAATATACGTGTTCAAGCGTATTTTCGGAAACTTCACCGCTTTTTAAATAAAAAATATTGTAAAACTTGAGGGGTGGTTTCACCCCCTTGGAACTGGAATTTCGAAAAATCCCTTCTTATCAAACCTCTACACCCTAGAATCAACCTGTATGCCAAAATTGAGCTTCTTACGTTGAGTGGTTTGAGCAGGATCGTGATTAATCAGTGAGTCAGTCACTTAAGGATTTTATATATCATTATAGATTATTTGATTGAAATAATAATTTTGGGAACTTTTTATTTTTTTAATCATAAATTTTTCTTCGAAAAAATTATTATAAAACAGTTTCTATTGAATTTTTGCCACTAAAACATTTCAAATTTATGATTTCAGTCTAATAACTTGTCAAACATGTTTAATTTATGTCACAGACTAACCTATATTAGTTTGTGTTTATGTCAATGATGACAGGTATTGATAATTTCGGTTCCAAATATCTCGAGAACCATTACTCGTAGCGATTTTTACCACAAAGCTATTTTACGTAAAAAACGTCATAAATATATATTTTTTTAGTCAGTAGTTTTGTACGGGTACGGACAAAAAGTTATTACTCCTCAAAACAGATAAAAATATGTAGGTGGCGCTTTCTACAAGTAGGAGTCATATTGACATATAAATCAAATTTCTCATGTCAAAAAACTTTCCGACAACAATTTCGAAATAAAAATGATACTTCAACACCCTGTATCTCCGAAACTAAGCATTTTAGGACATACATTTATACGAACTTTTTTACTCGTTCTTATGTGCAGAATATGCTGCCGAAGTTTCATAAATAAATATAATTTCATAATAAATGGTTCATTTGCTTTTGATTTAACACCGCTTAAATTACATACACTTATTTAAAAGAAGAATTTAAAAAAATGTACTTATCTTTCTCTTCTATATCTGTACCAAGTGGTCCCTCCATCATAAAACTCATATCAGAACTATTTTTACAACCCTTAATTCAACAGGTAACCGCAGTATACTTCTCACGCCCAAGACAAATACTGTAAGCTTTATTTCTACTGGGTGTTTCCTAATAGCGGTCCATTACCTTATTAAATCCACGACGAAATCCCCGCCGTGTGGAACCGCCGTTCAGTGGTACCCGCGGTGGTTGTGGTACCGTCTCGCGCTACTCCCAGGTGAGTGAGTCAGTCTATATGATTTCCCGCGAGCGCAACTGGTCCGTTTATTCGCCTGAGGTACCGTACTGATCGATTTGAAAAAGTACTTCGCGCGAAAAGTACTATTTTTTTTGTTACGAGTGATTTGTGTTTGGTTTGGAACTAAAGTACCGGAACTAACGGAATGGAATCAGTGATTTTTATTTATTTGTTTTTATATAGGGTGCGTCTCAAAAGTGTCACCCCTATAACTTTTTAATTTTTTCAGATAAAAAAACGAGATTTGCTATGTTAGTATATGACCTACATTAGGATTGATTGACGTATTCATTTGTTTTTCGTCCCTTTCTGTTTCACCGGAAATGACTAGAGCTTTTGATTTTGAAATGACACCCTCGGTATTTTTTTAATTTATTCGATAGAAAATGACACTCTGCGACATTTTCGCTTTATAAAAATCGTATTTTAAATTTCAACCTAGATGGCTGTGTTAAAAACAGTAATATTTTTAATTAAGGAGCCATGGAAAAATAGATTTAATCGTTTAATGTTTTCTCGTGTCTTGTTCTGGCCGGTTAAAAGATGCCCAAATCGTATTTTTAATCATATCTCAATTTTTTCAAATGGGATAATGGTGTCTTTTAAAAATCAAAAGTTGTAATTATTTTTTGGTGACACAGAAAGTGGTCAAAAACAATTGAATTCGTCAATCAATCCTAATTTATGTCATATACTAACATTCCAAATCTCGTTTTTTTTAATTTGAAAAAATAAAAAAGTTATAGGGGGTGAGCCACTTTTGAAACGCACCCCGTAAATATTTTTTATTTTTAATAAGTTGGGATTGATGAATTGATATTTAAAAATGAAAAATTGTTTTTTTTTGTATAGGTTTTGTTTTGCAACAACCAAAATGCTGGTAATTTATAAAATCTATGCTTATTTTGGATAAATATGAAAAATAAACATTCAAAAATCAGCTCATATTTTTTTATCTGTGCTAGTGTAGTACTAAGTATAGTGTAAATTTGTTTTAACACACCTTGATCGTTTGCAGATTATTTTTTAAAGATTTGCAGCACTTCCTCTATTCAAATTCACTGTATCTAAATCTAGCTCAGTGAAATAAGTTAATATATAACATACACATATGTATACTCACCATATTCATAGATTGGTTTTGACCGAAGACATACAAGCAAATTGGAAACAAATTGTCACAGTCTGATTTAATTACCAAGCAATACAGGGTGGTTCGGAAACTTCGGCAGCATATTCTACAGATAAAAATAAGTAAAAAAGTTCGTATAAATGTCCTAAAATACTTAGTATCGAAAATACAGGGTGATGTAGAAGGTTCATTTTTATTTCGATTTTTTCCAAATAATTTCTGTAGTAACGTCAATATTTGGATGAAAATTGGTGTCAGGGAGTTTTTTGACATGAGAAATTCAATTTTGATGTCAATATGACTTCTACTTGTAGAGGGCGCCACTTATTTATTTTTTAACTGGTTTGAAGAGTAATAACTTTTCGTCCGCACCTGTATAAAACTACTGAGTAAAAAAATATAGATTTACGACGTTTTTTACGTAAAAAAGGCCTCTTGGTAAAAATCGCTACGAGTAATGGTTCTCGAGATATTTGGAATCGAAATTATCAATACCTGTCATCATTGACATAAACACAAACTAATATAGGTTAGTCTAAATAGTTATTAGACAGAAATCATAAATTTGAAATATTTTTCTGCCAAAAGTTCAACAGAAACTATTTTCTCATCATTTTTTTTGCAAAAAAATTTATGATTAATTTAAAAAGAATAAAATTTTTCCAAATTTACTTAATTTCAGTCAAGTAACTATGTACTCAATGTGTTGCTCGTAGCGATTTTTACCAAGATACATTTTTTACGTAAAAAGTCACGGAAATGTATATTTTTTCACTCTATAGTTTTATACAGTTACGGATGAAAAGTTATTACGTACTCTTCAAAACAGTTAAAACATATGTAGATGGTGCCCCCTACAAACAGGAGTAATATTGACATAAAAATCAAATTTCTCATGTCAAAAAACTCCCAGACACTAATAATTTTCACTTATAATATCACAAGAGCTTAAATTATTTTCGGAAATTTTTTTGAGGGCACGAATATTTTGAAAATTATCCCGAGTCGAAGACGAGGGATAATTTTCCCAAAATATTCGTGCCCCAAAAGAAAATTTCCAGGAATAATTTAAGCTTGCGTGGTATTCGGTAAGAAAATTTCACACCTAAATTTGAAAAAAAAATATTAATCCAACATGACATTTTAAAATAATTTCAATTTGTTAAGTTGGCCAAGATATTGCTAAAACTCAAATGGGTAATATTTCAATATATAGACATTGTAGTTCATTCACATTATGATTGTAGATCTTATGTTTACCTTTTCAACTGTCAAAAAATTTCCACTAAAGTTTCGTGGCGCCTCGAAAAAATTTCCGGAAATTTTTTCAGTTGCCATGGTAACTAGTCAACATTAAAGCATGTTATTGGTTGAAAAGTAGAGGTGTGAAATTTTCATCGAAATATTGACGTTACTTCAGAAATTATTTGAAGAAATTCGAAATAAAAATGAAACTTCTACACCCTGTATCTCCGAAACTAAGCTTTTTAGGACATACATTTATACAAAAATTTTTACACATTTTTATCTGCAGAATCTGCTGCCGAAGTTTCCGGAATACAGTTC